GATCCATGCACCACTCTCAAGTTGTGTAAACGAGACCAACGACTGGCCGACATCGCCGCCATAATTAACATTAAATATAATTTGATTATCAATATGTGTAACTTTTCCTCACCAGGATCCATAGTATAACGATATGATACAGTTACAGCGTTGGAGAATGAACCAATTGTTTCTCGAAATAATTGACCCTCTATTAGAGCATCGGCTGCATCAGTAATGTTCGACAAAAGCCGATATATAACATTTCGTAGTGTCGTTAGTAAATCATTCTGAGAGCATATCAATATTGAATTGTCAGGTTTAGATAATACGCTGCAAGACATAATTTTGTTAGTATGATTTTTTATTATATAATAAATAATAAATTAAATTATTCTGAATATGAATTTACTTTCATTATGGATATCTTGATTCATATGAACTTCGGTCCGACGATCAATGATCCGTACGTATTGGTCGACTTTAAAATCATCTTTGAATGCTTTCCTGACCTCCTCTCTTGCTGAAACTAGCATATATTTAAGATACGACATCTGTGGACGCTTGACCATATCGACCTTACGGAGAACAATATAAAGTGGTAAAACACCTTTTATGATTTCTGGCATACTCTCCCAAAATCTAGAGGAAAGAATGGTCTTTTCTATCTTCTTTCCATCGCTCAATTTGGTCGGCCTTAAAATCATCTTTGAATGCTTTCCTGACATCTGTGGACGCTTGACCATATCGACCTTACGGAGAACAATATAAAGTGGTAAAACACCTTTTATGATTTCTGGTATACTCTCCCAAAATCTAAATGAAAGAATGGTCTTTTCTATCTTCTTTTCATCGCTCAATTTCGAATATCTGGAATTAGACCACTCTTGTGAGGTGACCATTGCCTTTAAGTCATGCCTTTTTTGTGTAATGACTTTAATGGAATAAAATTGGTAGTAAACCGGGTAATTCCAGGTCGGAGTATCTCACCGTTTACAAACTTTTGCATTAAAGCGTGGACCCAATGATGATTATATATAAACTTTGTAATTAATTGTGCTCGAGCTACACAATTCTTGACCGCGTCTAGCTCACCAATATCCTTCAGCATTAGATCTATGCAATGAGCTCACCAATTCTTGCCTTTAAGTCATGCCTTTTTTGTGTAATGGCTTTAATGGAATAAAATTGGTAGTAAACCGGGTAATTCCAGGTCGGAGTATCTCACCGTTTATATACTTTTGCATTAAAGCGTGGACCCAATGATGATTATATATAAACTTTGTAATTAATTGTGCTCGAGCTACACAATTCTTGACCGCGTCTAGCTCATCAATATCCTTCAGCATTAGATCTATGCAATGAGCTGCACATTGAGTCCAAAACAAAGTTATTCTTTTTTCCATCAATTGCAAACCAGCCTTCTTGAAATTCGCTCCATTGTCGGTTATTATTTGGACAACATACCGTGGTCCGAACTCCTCTACTATAATGTCCATTAAGCTCTCAATGTAGTTTGCATCTTGGATCTTTTCAGAAGCATTAATGGACTTATAAAACACCACTCTTCTGTTGCAATAAACAAGAAAGTTGATGATACTCATTTTTGTTGGTCTTGTCCAAACACATCAGTGTCATCTCATATTCGTCCCATTGCCTCTTGTAGGATTTGATCCAATGCTTCAGTTCTGCCGCCTCCTTATCTAAGTACACACCGTAAATCTCCCTCGGTGTTGGAGGTTGGATCCAATGCTATGATAATATGGACCTTGGGCTGTGTTGGCTGGAATCCTGTAGAAGTTGAACAATTTTGAGATTGCCTTCCCAATATCTCGTTTTTTTCTTTTGTGTATGCATCGTCAATCCGTGTCTGTTTCGTTGTTTGTGGGGGATAGGTTTGCGGATCAATATCAACAATATCTGGTGCGGACCTCCGGTCAAGACCTATCATAAAACCACGAAGTCCACCATACCTCATACTACTAGTTCGACCTAACTGAGAAGGAGCAGTTGGCTGCCTCATGCTGGTCGATCTTTGGATTCCACTACCACTGCCATGCTCCAATTGTGAGTCAGGTCGTCGATGCCTCATTGCTTCATCGATCGTATACTGATACTCCAATGATGCACGAATCCCAACTATGAGATCTGAGTCGACTTGATCGTCGCAACCCTCATTTTGGTCAACTTGATCCGGGTCGACTTGATCGCTCCAATTATGACTATACTGATCATAAACTGGTTCCTGCGTAGCCCTATAATATTCTTTCTCAACTCTTGCCTTCTTTTTTAATGTATCTTCCTTTGTTTGTTGTAGCTTGCTTTGAAATAATTCACGGACCTCTGTCGGAACCTTCTTGCATTTTGCAACATCATGATACCTATCAGCCAAATGCATTTTCACTCGAGTTATTCCTCTGCCCTTGCCAATGTAGTCACAATAAATACATTGCCAATGATGATTGTTCCCATCTATCTTTCAGGCATGAACCCATGAATCATCATGTGGTTGTTCTTTTGGTGTCATGATCCTACCAAATTTAAATCAAATAAGCTATAAAGTATAAACATATTGAATTGACCAAATATCGATTCAAAATCACTAATCGCAACATTAAATAATTTTATTAAAACATAATTAATCTCATTTTATAATCATAAATATGTTACATATATAAAAGAAGCATTAAATATATGATTTTAATCTAATATGATTCAAATTATAATAAAATCATCATTAGATACACTAATTAATGATTAACATAGTTAATTACCTACTAATTACTTCTCTTTTAACACTATAAACATGACAAACACCCTAATAGGTATTAAACATATTGAATTGACATAAAATCGAACAAATTTCGATTAAATCATCATTAAAATGACTAATTACAGAATAACTTTAATAAAACTTAATTAAACTTATTATAAATATTTTTTAATATTTAATATACCTGAAATATAAATATTTGACTTATTAAGTATCTAATTTCGAATTAATCAATATTAAAAATACTAATCATAATATTAAAGATCTTAATTACTAAGAATAAATACCTCTTGATTAGAAAATTCTTCCTCTTAATCTTTCCAAATTAGCCTTGATTCAATTCGTAAATCGTTATTTTGTAAAGTTTAGGAGAGCACAAATATGAGATTTAGAGAGTATGAGAATGAAATGGAGTGAAATAAGGGAGAAGGGTTTAAAAATCTATGAGAAAGGGCTCTAATGGTTAATTTGACTGTTGGAGCACTATTACCGAGCGGTAACGGTCAAAATCGATTGTTACCGTTCGATACACGATACGGGGCACTTTTAAATGTTTCGCTCGGTAGCAGGTGGTCCGCGTACCGGTATGCTGTCGGACCGGTACTTACCACTCATATCGGACAGTATCATTCGAAACTGTATACTTTGCCAAAATCCCCACAAGTGCCCACATGACACAACTTTCATTTGCAAGCCTAAAACGACCACCAAAGCCAACCAAAATGAGGCTGCCAAGCCTATAGCCAGCCCTCTACATGCTATGTATAGCATGAACATAACCAAAAGCCACAAACATGCATGAGCATTACATCAAACACCTCGTTTACAACTTTGTCTGTGGCATAACGTGCAAAGGCAAATTTGAGAGTCCAGAGACATGATAACGATGTGGACAGTAATGCCTCGATTGATAATGGCGATGATGCCGATGGTCCCATCTATATAATTTGAGGGTGGTGCATAGTGGTATTTTGCATATGCCGCCCAAGATTCAAATCATGGAAATCGAAGAGGTACTGGTTAAGTTTATACATGAAAGAGGAGGAGAAGGCAGTAGATGAGGTTCAAGTTGTAATAGTATGAGTCATTACCCACATGTAAATAGCATCTTCTGAGTACTTTACTCTGGAGTCTTGACCAATGTGGTTTTGTTGTAATAGACATAATATTGGAGGAACAATGGCTTGTGGTGTGCAATTCCCTTGGGAACATTATTATGCATAATGGTAAATATTTATCTTGCAAGCACAAATGTTATGGATGGTGGCAGTTTCATGGTGGGTTGGCCATAGAAATTCAATCTCACTTGTAGGTAATCCTGCTGATCCATGAAGATTTGTGAGTGACTTTATGTGGACCCGAAGAAGATGGATATTTTATCTTGCATGCATAAGCATCATGGATGGTGTCAACGGCCTGGTGGGCAGGCCTATAGACTATAGACTACAGAATATTGGTGATCCATGCAGATTTCTGGTCACTTTATGTAGACCCAAAGAGGCTGTTAGATATTTATTTGATTAGAGAAAATAGTGATACCCTAAAGAAAGCCCTGCTTCGAAATTTGGCCAATGATTTAGAGTTACCACCAACTTCCAAAGAGCACTCTCTGGGTACTTTTTGGGGATAGACCCACATGTTTCAAAGCTTGAGTTGTGACGGTATAAACAATGATTGTATATATCTGTTATTAGAGAAGCCTTCTATTGTCTTTTGTTAGGTAATTTGTTTAAGTATAAAGCTCAATGCCCTGACTTATAAGGCTAATCAACAATAACAATTTAGTAGCACCTTTTGAGTTATGTATGCAATGTTCATATATTTGCATTTTGTTGATTAACATGTCTCAACAAACTACTATCATGATTTATTGTTAAATAGTTCAAAAAATTCTCATAGTGCTTGAACCTATGTTCGCCTAATATTTTTCTTTCAGAATTGGGGATGTCATTGATGAGGATGTAGCACATGCGAGGGCTCCTTTTATTGCTTGCACACAACAATGTTTTGCTATTAAATCTGGAATTGATGGACTTCTAGATGTTGCACGACGCTCTTTTTGTGATACTAGTGAAGGTTATTCATCATCTATTCTTTCTGTTAACTTGTGTAGCTCAAATTCTCATATGGAATGTAAACACAGCTATTCATAATCTTGCAAACAAATATCGGGAGAAATTTAAGCTACCAAATTTGAAGATCCCTTATAACAATAGGCAAGGATTTTACTTTAGTATTCCACAAAAGGACATCAGCGGAAAGCTTCCTGACAAATTTATTCAGGTTTGTGTAAAATCTGTTTATATATATATATATATATATATATATATATATATATATATATATATATATATATGTATGTATGTATGTATGTATGTATATATACACTGATGTTTCTTAAACTCTAACATTAGGTCATGAAACATGGAAAAAACATACACTGCTCCAGTTTTGAACTTGCTTCTGTAAGTATAACTTTTTCATGCCTTTTCTCTTATATTCAACAATATTTGTGTTTTAATGAGCAATTTTATTATCACTTTGGTTGATGCCTTAATAGTACCTAGTAGAAGGGAATGGTAGCTAAATTAAGGTAACCTTTTATGCCTCTAGGTTTCAGATGTTGTGATCTTTCAGATGCATGATAACCAATAACTTGTCTCTTTGCTTGTAATCCTTTGTTTTCTTTTGCTACTAATTCATTAAATAAATGCAGTGCAGGGGTTGGTCAGTAATGTCTGTCTGTAACAGACTTCTGAAAGATTAAAAAATAAAAATAAAACAGACTTATGAAGGGTTCACAACACAATCATCTTTATGAATGTTTATACCTTAGAAGAGCCATTGTCTTAGTCTGTTTTAGGATGCTGCTTTAGGGTATCGTCAATTGTTTTGGAGCATGTCTTTTGTTGTTTATAGAGGTAGTATTTAGATGGTTTTTTAGTAGTACATTATGGTTTTGGATGTTGGCAGGATATGCAATTTTAGTTACTAAATGAAGACATTGCAACTCTAAAATGGCAAATCCTGATCCAACATCGGCCTAACATACCTTGGTGAAAGTTGAGTTAGGTTGAGGGCTTCGAGGAAGGTCCCAACTTTGGCTTTTGTCACTTAGCATCGGCTGAGGCATACCATTTCACACAGGAATCTGGTTTGTGGAGCAGGGCCTTTAAAAGTGGCATGTAAGCATAGGAATACCAACACAAAATATGTTGGTATGTATTCTAGTACCAGGTCGTTTAAAAGTGGCATATGAGCTCAGGAATGCCAACACATAGTATGCTGGTATGTACTGTGGTTAAGGGTGTTTAAACGGAACTAGTTCATCAATAGTTTAGTTTTGAAGGCTATATAAATGGTTCTGGTTCAGGGTACTCTTCTTCGGTTTGGTTTAAACCGATTAATCAAATTGTTCACCGTCGATTAATCAAATCGATTCAAACCGATTAATTAAATCGACTCAATTTCAATGCCACAATTTCACAAATGACGTAGGTCAAATTTCATAAATCTTGTCGTGTCGTCCCAATTGGACCAATTAAACGAAACTTATTCATTTGAAATATATATATTTTTAAATTATTTAAAATTATAAATCGATTAACTGGTTAACCGAGTAGGATTAACTGGTTTGGTTATCAGACCTACCTTACTTTAATCAAACCAAACCGGAAATTGGTTTGGTTGGAACAAGTTAGAACACCCTAACTGTGGTACCAAGAAGGATGATGAGAAGGAGAAAGAGACAAAAGAGTACTCAGGCCAGTGGCAGCAGGCATTAAATGAAGTGAGCATTAGGTGGGCCAGTGGTATCTAGGTTCACACTTAAATCGAAAAATACCAGTACCGGTCCGATGAAATAGGGAACTTTTTTGGACCTAAATCGGGTTCATTCATTAGTTATTTATCTCTAAAGAAAATATGTTCTATTAGGTTTAGGGTTGAACTCCATTATTTAAAAGATACATCTCATGGGCATTGTCATATATTCCTATTAAATGTTGCCACTCTTGTAACAATAGGCTAGGGAGGAGAAATTGATACAAAAAGAGGGAGGGAGAGCGAGAAAGAGAAGGCAAATTGTTGACATATATATATATATATATATATATATATATATATATATTTTCTAATTAAAGATTTTCTGTAGGCATTCTAATTTTTCTTATGTTTTTCATTTATGCCAATACAATACTAAGAGATGATAATTTCTTCTACTATATTGTGGCACATATTGTGATGTTGAAGGGTCAAAGACCTTTGTCCTTATATAATACCAAGGATTAACTTTTTTGTGTTGATCGATTGCACATAGTGTGCTACTGAAGGGTCAAAAACATTTGTCCTTATGTGATACCAAGGATTAACTATTTGTGTTGACTGGCACAGTCAATTGGCCAACAACACGACATGTATCGTTCAATACCGGTGTACTATGTGTCGGTACACCTGAGCGTATTGACAGTCCCAAAAAAGCCCAGAAGATCTCTGAAAGTACCTAAAATTAGGAAAAAAACATAAATTAGGGTTTTCTAATTAGAACTATATGTAAAGTTAGTTTAATTTCATTAAACAATATCTAAATAAGGAAGGGATAGTTGATTTATCTTTTTTGGACATTAAAGAGCAGCTTTGCTGCACGTTTCAAATCGTTCTTCCGTTGATATTGAATTACCTACAAAAATATAACTTGAATTGTTAGATAACATGTCAAAACTTTAAGATTTAAATAAATCAAGTAATAATTGAATCGGTTGATGGATCCACAATCGGTGGGTTGATGTCCTCGATCCCATGTATTTTTATATTGATATGGTATGTTTGTTAGACTCAATCCTAAAATTGCTTCTATGACATGGTACATTGGTAGGTCGTGATGCATTAATGTGATAATGATGGTTGTGTGATCATCCTGAACCATACGTGTTCGAGGTGGCTCCTAAGGCAAGTATGATTGTGGCATGTGTTGTCATCTTCTCCAATTAGTCCATGTCATTGTCTTGTCCTCCTCAACCTCATCCTCCACCTCCATGTCCTATTCTCCTCCTCCCCTCTTCTCTGCATCTTTCACTCTGATCTAAGCGGTAACAACCTGTACCAAGTGTTGATTCATCAATTTGTACTGGTATTGTATTTGTTTTTGTTTTTGATACCAGACTGAGTTCTTAAACCTTGCTCTGAACAGCTTTTTTATAAAATTCCTTTCTAAATTGAAATAATGCATATTCTAAAGTGGCTTCTCCTTGAGAAATTCATGAAGACTAGGTCTCTTCATAGGGAATTTTGGCAGTTCAAAATACCTCCACTTGCAAACTTTGATGAATCTTTGGTCTCCTTTAAAGATATGCTCTTAATCTTATTGAGTTCTTTTAAAAGACTAGAGGAACGAAGGAAGACGAAGAAGAAATGGCTTGGTAGAGTCGGTGATCACAAGTCTACCTGTAAGGAATAGGAGCTTGATCTTCCCCTCATCCAATCCATATCCAACCTTATTGCGAAGTGCATCCATCATCTTGGAGATGATAGTCTGTTAGGTTTGAGAGAGAAAATGAGGTACCATACAGGAAAGCTTGAAGCTTTATCAAAATTCGCAATACCAAGATGACATTTATTCTAGCCATGGACCGCATGGTATAATATCAAGCACTTGGCACCTGTGCCAGTCAATACATATTGACTGCATTGGACAATCGAAATAAAATTTTATTGGAAATATTTTCCTCTTTGATATTTGTATATCAAAACTTTCTTAGTATACAAGCCAATTTTGAGGGATAAATTCAATCCAATAGCAGCATGTTGATCAAAGTGTAGGCAAAAAAGTCCACTCCAATCTTCTGATGAGCTATTGGTGATGCAAAAAAGAACTGCCCTCACATTGAAGTTCTTTTATTCTAAAAGTGTAGGCATTTATTTTTTGTGTGATTATTTGTTTTCTTTCTTTATCTCAGTGGATATTCATATGCTAAAAAGATTTTTTTGATCTTAATGTTGATAGCATCATGTGTTTTCTGAGGCTTTGTACTAGAAGTGCTTGACAATAGCCCATGTAGTCCTAATTTCAATTTTTTTTCTCTATCTAAAAAAATGATGTGCAGTTATTTGGTTATACTTATAGTATTAATAGACTGGTTATACATATTGCAGCTTAATGTTAGAAACAAGTCTGCTGCTGTTGAATGTTTCATGCGTACAGAGATCTTCTTAGAAGGTTGTTGTTATCTTTTCTCTAGATGAAGGTGCCTAAGTTCTATGCGCCATTCATTTTCTTATATTTAAAAGATAGAATATATTTTTCCGGCTTTTAAAATATGACATCAGACAAGTAGAACTTTGTATTGAATGAATATAATGGAATCTGTTCCCATAGCGAATATTTTCTATGGTAAACTTCCTTATAGCTACTTATTGTGCTTCTTTCTTTATCATGTTCATCACCAAACAGTATAAATGATTCACAGTACACCTAATTCAACTGACTCATTGTGTTGTTTCTTCAAACAGTAGTCATATCTGATATCAATGTTCTCTTACACTTCATTACACACTTCACATTCATGGAGGAATCTCCAGAAGCCTGCATTTGCACAGATCTGTTTGACACATGGTTTATGCTTTCACATATCGGTGCATGTTACTAGCTTCTCCTTTATTTATGGCAAGTTCTAGAGAATGTTAGAATTCTTTTTTTTGCCACTCTGGCTTGTAGGTTCTATATTCAAATAGAGTTGCTTGTTCACCCTGATCCCATTATATTGCCATTGAGCAATAGAAGCAACAATAGTTTTTAACTGCTTTGTTGTTAGTTCCTAAAAGCATGGTATGCAATTTCGAATGGTACCACCCGGTATGGGCGGTACGTACCGATCCGATGGCATAATGGTACGCGGACCGCTCGCTACTGGACGGAATGTGCTACAGTGCTACATTGTAGCAGTGCTTGATATTAGTGATACAGTGATACAGTAAGAGGAAGACATATTTAAAATCGCTCGATAATAGTGATATAGTGCTCCAACGGTCAAATTGACCGTTCGAGCCCTTTCTCATAGTATTTAAACCCCTTCTTCTCCCTTATTTCACTTCATTACATTTTCATACTCTCTTAAACTATCTCAAACTCTTTTTTCTCACATTTGTGCTCTCCTAAACTCTACAAAACAACGATTTGTAAATTGAATCAAGGCTAATTTGAAAAAATTAAGATGAAGAACTTTCTAATCAAGAGGTATGTTTATATAAGGACAATTCGTAATGGATTGAAATACGAGCACAAGATATTCTTCAAAGCCCGAAAAAGATATGTGATAGTATTCTTACCTAATTTACATTGATTTTGCTAAACTTATGCTATTACTATATTTATTTCTAACTTAAAAACTCTATCCTAACTTTTTTTTTTTCAGGTATTTTCGGAGGGTTTTACACCTAAATTAGGTGTATCGCTCGGTATGCCCTGGCGTACCGCTCAGTACACGGTACTGTACCATACCGAGCCAACCTCGAAACATCGGTATGGTACGGTATTGCATACCTTGCCTGAAAGACTTTCTTTTTTCAAGTGAAATATACCATAAGTTTCAATTTGATACTTTGAGCTTTATACCGAGCGGTACATGGTACCATACCATTCCGAGCCAACCTCAAAACATCGGTACGGTACGGTATTGCATACCTTGCCTAAAAGACTTTCTTTTTTCAAGTGAAATATACCATAAGTTTCAGTTTGATACTTTGAGCTTTATGTCAAATTTATTAATCTGTAAACTCTATTTGTATCTTTACTGAATCACCAAGAAGGAAATCTTGATATTCCTAGCTTAAGTTGTAAATTGTCACAGTTGACAGAGCCGCAATAAGTTTTAGTATTATGATGTTAGGGAACTATCAGATGATTCATAGAACAGATGATGACCTCCTAACTAATACAAAATTGAATGATAAATAAATAAATAATAAAGTCCTCTTTTTTGGATAAAAATCAATAAAGACCTTGTAAACTATGACAATGGTATGTGTTGTTTGAAACCAAGTCTATAAGGTACCAAAACCAAAACAACTAGGCCCTCAAAACAAGGTCTAAACTCTAAAGGACCACATAAGGGTAGAGGTTTTTGACCCTTCAGCAGCACAATATGTGCCACAATACAGCAGACGAAATTCCCATTTCTAAGCATTGTATTAGCAGAAATGAAACACAAAAATAAGAAAAATTGGAAAGCCTACGAAAAATCTTCAATTAGAATATACACATATATACCCACAGAAAGCCCACTTGATCCACCATGTTGCTTTGCTATGGTGTAAGTTTAGTCGTTGACCACTTTTGGTTGTGTGCTTGCTCTGATACCATGTGTCAAGGATTTAGCTAGAATTTTTTAGGTTGTGAGGCACCCAAGCAAGCCCTACCGGCAAGGTTCAGTGTAAGTTTCAACCTCTTGTGATCTCAAAGGACCTACATAAGAAAAAAAGAGTTAGTCGAAGAGGTGAACGACGGGCAAAATCTTGATGTCGCTCGGAAGGCATGTGGAACAAACAATTGAAAGCAACAGAAACTTAATTAGCCTTAAAATGACACTTGCATTCGAACAACATTAGGGAGAGCTTGATGGAGTCTTGTGCTTGTATGAGTATATCGCTTATGGCCTCACAAGTTGTAAAGCTCAAGTACTATACAAATGCCCCATCAGGCTTGGTGCCACCCAAGAGGTTCTAGGGTGTTGAGATGGCTGACGTTTTCTCTACCAACCATTGACATCAAAATCCTATCTTGGCACAGGCGAAAAGGTCTATTTTGACTAGCCCGGGACTACTATTCATGGTCGATAGAATAGTCTATGTCTACTGCAAGAAAAAAAGTGAATTACATGCAAAATGAGGTTGCTAGGCTATCCCATGCCTTGCTATTTAGTCGTACACTGAAAAAGGTGACAAGAAACAAAAGACAAACTGCTCGAGCAATGAAGGTGCTTCATTGTAGGCTTGCTGCAGCTGTCCATGACTAGCCGAATCGGTATTTGAAACCTTGGTTTGTTTTTAGTAAAGGGAAAGGACAGTTATTACCTTTTCAGTTATAGCCATAATCCACATGTTATTTCCACCATTGATTGAGGGTTTTTTTGGTTGGAATAACACCAAGAGACCAAGGGAAACCATTGTTTCCTATAAACAATTAATGCAAGAAAACATTTGAAACCCTTCAAAAACACTTAGAAATGAATCAAATTGATTTAGTTCAATTTCATTTTTGTCAGTTAATGTGCCTTAGCATTTGCCAAAAATGAGACTAGGAGGGCATATGTTATGGGCTCACACATATTCCATGTCAAACTTGGTATTTTCAATTAACAATGGCATCCAATTTTGACATTATAAACTCTTGCCTTAAAAATGCATTAAACAGGAGGCACTGGTTTGATATTTTACCTCAAAATTACATACAGGATTACTGATATCTGGGCAGTTGGCCTGCTAGTTCATACATCCTGGATAAGATTGCCAGAGTACTGTTGGAGTGGAGTTTGGACCAGCATTTGGATTGCTTCAGGGCATCAGTTTTGTTGGAGATCAAATTTACCATTTTTAATTAGTTGGGCGTCTAGATTTTTTTTATTATTTGGCTGGTAGTGTAGATGTTACTGCATCTCCTACTCAAAATTCATTTTCTGGTCTGTCCCTTGAGTCCTTTACCGCTTTAATTCAAGACATCTTTATTGCAACGCAAATATATTTTATGGTGCTTGAATTTTCTTCACCTAATATGTCAGATATATCTTCTTGAAGAGAAGCAAGTTGACTTGAGTTCTCTCCCACTTCATGTAAGTTTGATTTTCTTGAAGAAGAGGCACTTAGATATTGAAGTCTAGGATTTAGGCTTATAGTTTAATGCTGCATCCAACAATTAGATAATGAAGTAATTCTCTGCATTTTGCCATGGACATCTACATAATCAGATTCTAAAGTGAAAGGCTCAGAAATTGTAATTGTTTTCTTGACATTCATCCATTATATAAAGAACGGCTTGGCATAGGAAGTGTTACTCATGTTGACTGGTGCACAGAATGCTGGTCCATTACCGAGGGCATGCTATAAAATTGAAAATCTTATTTTCAAAGAATTATATATAAATGGAGTTGATCTTGATGAGAATTAATGTATGTTGGTAAAATACTTTTGATTAAGGTTTATAATTTTCTTCTGTACCGGTGTACCAACCAGGCGTCGGTATGGTACGTATCGAGGCATACTGATGATATACCCAAAATCATCAAAAATAGCTTCCAAAATACCTAAAAATAGATAAAAGTTAGATTAGGGTTTTTAAGTTGGGAATAAATATAAAATTAGTATAATTTTAGCAAAAATAATGTATATTAGGAAAGAATAGTGACATCATTTTCGGGCTTTGAGGAGTAGCTTTATGGTACGTTCCGTATCGCCTTTCCGTTAATATTAAATTATCTACAAAGAAATGATTTGAATCGATAGATTATTTTTTAAACAACTTTACCTTTAATATTCAAATGAATTAAGTAATCAATTTAATACGATGAGCTTCGCTTTGTGTCTACGTCATGTAGGTCCTGTCGCATTTGCTCCAAATCATCCATTGTCTTCCTATTCTCCTTCTGTGTATAAACTTGGCTAGTACCTCGTCGAGTTCCATGATCTGAATTTTGGGTGGCATATGTAAAATACTATTTCTTGATTCATGCACCACCCTCAAATTGTATAGTTGGGACCATCGACTCCCTAGCATCGTCGCCATCATTGGTTGAGACATTGTTGTCCACGTCATTGTCATGTCTCTGGACTAAGCAGGTTGTTGAATGCGATTAAGAAGGTGTTTTGTCGCCCAACTTAATTTTTTCTAACGGTGTGGCTGAGGCTATCGCCTTCCCCCTTTGTCTTTGCCTTTGCACGTTGGGCGAACAACTGTGATGGTTGGGTGCAGGGCTTTTAATTTCGATGTGTATCACCCAATGTGCGGTATGTACTGATCTGAGAGGATACCGGTACGTAGACTGCCCTCTACTAGGTCATACCAGTGTTTTAATCGATACCGAGGCATATCGATCGATACCACCCCAGATTTCGATCGCTACTGAGTCATACCGGTCGGTACACCCTGGCGTGGTAGGTGGATGTATTTTTAAGATTTTATGATATACCATCGATACGCCCTGGTGTACCAATGGTACATATCGGTACGTACCATTCTGAGCAGAGCTCGGTACATCGGTACGGACCGGTATTCAAAACCTTGGTTGAGTGTCTCTAGTTCCTCAAGCAGTCTGACTCGATGTTGTCTGGCTCCTTTCGTCACATTCTGACTAAGGGGGATCTTCCTCTTACTTCTTTTAAATTTGATCTAATCCACAAATCATAGTCTTGTTGAGTTTAGGAGAGTGGAAATGTGAGAATGAGAGAGAGATGTGAGTGGGAATGAGTTTGAGAAAGTTGAAGAGATTGAGAGAGTGATATGAGTTGAGGGGGGGGAGAGGAAAGGGTTTAAGAGAAGGATCTTCCTCTTAATCCTCCTATATTTGATCAATCCACAAATCATAGCCTTGTTGAGTTTAGGAGAGTGAAAATGTGAGAATAAGAGAGAGATGTGAGTGGGAATGAGTTTGAGAGAGTTGAAGAGCCCTTGATCAGTAACGGTCGAAATTCGATCGTTACTGATCCGATCGGTACAGGTCAATAACAATCGGATTTCAACCGTTACCGCTCGACACAGACCCCGTATCACCCGATACGGGGTCAGGTTATGGTACCGCCTAGTAGAGGGTAGTCCGCGTATTGGTCCCTATCGGACCAGTATGTACCGCCATACTGGGTGGTACAGGTCGATACGACGAACCCTGCTTTTGATTCTATTTTCAAGTTGGGAAAAGTCTTCAGTAACCATGAAGAGCATTTGCTAAAAGGTGGCCTTAAATCTTTAATAATTGTCAATGTATTAGCTGGAGTTCATCTTGAGAATCTTTTGTTGTTATTCTTATGTTCGGGGATCCTTTTGGAGGTGAAACTGGCATTGGAGCTGGTGGTGCAAAATTATCTGACACCTTTATCCTGTTAATGTTAAGGTTTGCTTGTTATATGGCTTATGTATGCATTGGAGTTCTGCTAATCTTGCCTCAGCTAAATTTGCAGGGCTAATTGATGTCATAAGGAATGATATCTCCATACTAACATTGCTTGCAGAGGTCTTGAACCTTCTAGATATGATTGTGAACTCATTTGCACATGTAATATCTACCAAACCTGTTGACCGCTATACAAGACCAGAATTCACAGGTAACTGCTTAGTTTACTTGCAACTCCATCTTCTTCTATATTAAGATGTAAGTAATATGAGATGCCTAATTGAACTAAATGTCCAGATAATGGTCCTGTGGCTATTGATGCTGGAAGGCATCCTATACTAGAAAGCTTGCACAGTGATTTTGTTGTATGTATTGTGATCACATATGATACGCTTTTCAATTGATTTAATTTCTTTCTTCAGATTGTTTCAGTCATGTGGTTTCTTCTCTAACTTATTAACTTCCTTTTTCATTCTAATGCAGCCTAACAATCTTTTCCTTTCTGAAGCATCTAATATGGTTATTGTCACAGGACCAAACATGTAAGAGGCTTTCTTTGGAAATAATTGCTTACTTTATATCATGGATCATGAACTGTTATCCATCATCTTCATATATAAGGTTTGCAATATTGCCAATACGATACAGCACAGTCGATATTTATCAGCCTAACAAGTTACCGGCCTGTGGAGTAGGGTAAACTGGGGAATATGCTTGATACAGGGTATGTACAGCTCATTATATGTCTTGTACTACCCGGTATAGAGCATGTATGAGTGGTATTTGTCAGGTGCTATATACCGGGTAGAACAAGACCTATACTGGTTACTGGTTGTGTTTGTCAGTCCAACAGCTTACTGGTACTAAATGTTATGCCCTGTATCCTGGTATAGAGCCTATGCTGGCCGGTACATGTCCTGTACAGGGCTTGTATATTGTTTTTTAGTACTTTCTTTGAAACTCAGTATATAATGGTGTATCTAGTGTCTGTGCATGGTATGGTACTGGCACAGTATCAACCTGAGTTCTGACTGGTTAAATACTGATACATTCCAAACTTTGTTCAGAATGTCTTGACCAGCAGCACTTGAAAACTTTTCTGCATTTAACTATCAGTTGCACTTGTGCTTCTTTGTGACAGGAGTGGTAAAAGCACTTATCTTCAACAAGTTTGTCTTATCATCATCCTCGCACAAATTGGTTGCTATGTTCCTGCTCGTTTTGCATCACTACGTGTTGTCGACCGCATATTCACACGGATAGGGACTGGGGACAATGTTGAAAATAACTCTAGCACGGTATGAGACTTTAGACTTATGTTCCTTGAAATAACAATTTGTATAATTGTGTTTGTCACCCCGTCAATTTTTTTTGTTATAGATAGTGTATCCTACCAAGACTTGTTATTTTCGACACAAAGACATGCCAAAGCAGATATATACTTCAAATAATGACTATAAATCTATAAAATAGTGTTTGTCACCCTATCAATTTTGGTTTTATAAGAAGGATCATACCAAGGAATGTTATTTATAGCACAGGGATGCCCGGATATCTTTTTGGCTCGTCACACCCATATGCAAAAAATCAAATGCCAAAAATTGGTCTACCTATATATACATGTCGGCATCTTTTGTGCCAGTGGATATGGTGTATACTGGTACCTTTTTGGTATGCTATGTTTTGACATGTGCCACACAATCATGTGTCCCTTGGCATGGCAATTCTTGGAACCTGTTGAAGCTGTGTTGTCAACTACACTCTATCGGAACTGAGATCTTTTTGTCCATAAGAAAGAAAATAAAGTTCAAAATTCAAATTACCTGGTACTTGTATCTTGTCAAAAGTTTCTATCTTGAGTTGGTTTCCCCCCCATATATTTTAAAATATGTTTATGAGATATCAGATGGTGATAAGATCATTTTAGTTACATAAACTAAGGTTAGTATAAGAGATTCAAAATTGTTGAGATTATTGGTCTACCTATATATACATGTCGGCATCTTTTGTACCAGTGGATATGGTGTATACTGGTACCTTTTTGGTATGCTATGTTTTGACATGTGCCACACAATCACGTGTCCCTTGGCATGGCAATTATTGGAACCTGTTGAAGCTGTGTTGTCAACTACACCCTATCAGAACTGAG